GGTATGTGTTGCTTACTTAAAATTGAGGTTAACGTAACTTTATCATCTGATCGTATTTTATCCTCATCTAAGATCGATGTTGTCCGAAATAAAGTGGTTGTGGATTTATCAATATATCCACGTTCATTCTCAATTGCAGTAGTCTCTTGTTTCGACTGTGTATTACAATCATTGTTGCTCATGTTTGATATTAATTTGTTTGTTTTTGACCTTGTTCTATCTGCAATTACGTTCATAAACTTGAAAGTCAATATAAATCAATAAATCCCAATTATAATACACTGCCAATAATAAATAGAATAATATACTAAACGAGGAGTTCGCCTATTGTGATGATATAACTTTCACAATAGTTACCGCTGTCACCAGTTGTTAGCTCGGGCGCTGTCACCAGGTGAAAATCCCTTTCACCGATTGTAAAGTCTAAGTTGATCGAGCAAATAAAACTTTATTTGTATTCAACAAAAACCTATCGAATCTACTAAAATACATCGTTATTTATAGCAAAAAATCAAACATTTAAAATGAACAAAATGATGCAACTCTAAATTACACCAAGCTAGGATTATCTGGAAACCTATGACGTAATGAAAAGAGATTGAAATCCTATGAATGATGAAATAGTACCTAGAACAGCGTACAAGACCATTGGTCTGATGAAATAGATAACTACCATATGATATCGCAAAAACCGAACGAGATCATATGTATGACGAAATAGACAAAAAAGAAAGAGAACATATGTATGATGAAATGGACAAAGAGAAAGAGAACATATGTATGATGAAATAGACAAAGAGACAGAGATCATATGTATGATGACACATAAAAAGGGAACGAAAAGAGCTAAACGAAATACATGATGAAACAGTTAAAACAGAATGACCTTTAACTTAGGGAGTGAACGTTCACTTCCTAACATGTCTCTGTCCAAGTGCCTCTCCAAATATGACATTTCAAGACAAACTCAAAAATTCGCTGAAGATGGTAAAAAAGTCTCTGAAATTTTTTATTTGTCACTGACTTTTACAATCTTTTTAGGTCTGGATAAAAATAATGATACAAGAACAATGAAAGCTGTTGGCGGTCATTACGTGTACAAGCTCGAAAAAGATGGGAATGGGTTAGAACAACTTAAAGTTACAATGTCGGTTAAAAGTCAATCAAAAGAGAATAAAGAAAAAATTGAAACAAGTAAGCAGTGCTTTGTTTTAACGTAAGGGTGAAATTAATCATTCTTTTTTAATTTTAGAAACACGATTATTGCCAACACGAAAAGAACAAATTGCATTAATTGTTAATTTGGCAATTGAACACTTAAAAAGAACTGATCATTCGATATCAATTAACACGTGTGAACTAACGTTGAACAGAACACATCGGATTGGACGGGAAAAAATTAATTATATTTTAATGGCACTGTAAGGAATTAGCATCTTTAACTGTTTGCATAACTGTTTTTTCTATTTTTCTAGTGAACGTTTACATCTCATTGGTAAAAAAGTTGAAACCGGCAAAGATGAAGAAGATACGGCTAAATCATCTCGAGCAAAACGAAAAACAACAAAAGGTAATAAAGAAACGATTAGAAGGAACGACAAGAAACCTGAATGAACACAGAAACAGCAACAACTACCTAAAGGAGAACTTCGAAAAGATCTTCTCATTTTCTGCTACTTGTGCGTATATAATTGCATGTCTACACCTCTTTTAGTAGCAACAAATGCTGGGACAAGTAATAATCAAGAAGAAAAAGAAACAAGTCTACCAAAAATGAAACGGTATATTATCATCGTTCATGGTTTGATTGTTGCATAACCTATTCTTTTGTTCTAGGGCTTTGAGAGAATTAATAGATCCGCTTTCGAAGAATTATACCATTGAAGAAGGGAAAAAATGTCGTCGTGATCAGGATAAATTTACACAATAACTGGAGCAAAATCTCTACTTTTCTTTCGTTTTTGGCTACTATTATTGTTGTGTGTGTGTTGTGTCCTACTTTTTGTTGTGCTGTTTGTTTGTACACTACTATTTTTCTCTGTGACGTTGTAAATAAAAATGATTCTAGATAGATTTCAACGAACTAAAGTTTCAGTTTTGGCTTAGGTTTAACGTAGAGTTTGA